AAACTGTTGGTATTTACATATATTTTATTCTTTTGATTATTAAATAAATTTTGTTGTGTAAATTTTAAATAAATTTATTTTATTGTTTTAAAATTACATTAAATGTAGAGTGCTTAAAATGTCATTAGTGATAAGTAGAAAAAATTATTTAGACCTTTTAGACCTTAAATAGCTTTCTGATGAGTGACTTGCTTGGCTTGCCAATTTTTGAGTAGAAAGTTAAAAGTGCAATATTCTGTTTTAGAATTATTTTAAATTAGTTGTCCGGTCTTGTAAAATACGGGTAATGGTAAGTCTGTTTCACACTGATTATTTCTATATTTATTCTTTACATGGTCTCTTTACTTCTAAGTAAATGGTAGAAAAATTATTCATTTAAAAGTCTAGGCTTTGGGTTAACAACTAAAGTTTCATACTTAAAAACTTCTTTTTATAAACCCCGATAACAATTGCATGGCATTTCTTCTGGTATTTTTCCATTTTTATAGTTACAGTAAAATATAGACTCCAATTATGAACCGCACCACCTTACATTTATTTGGCAGTTGGAAAAAAGTTGTTCTAATTAACAAAATAAAAAAGTAATTAAGATTTTAAATCAAAAAATGATAAAATGCAAAATAAAAGTATATATATTTATTTACATAAGTAAACATATTTATTTACAAGCAAAATGTCAATTATATAAGAAAAAAGATCTATGCATATAATATTTTGTTTTGATAACTTGGCCATGGCACTTTTTATGTTTTAATAATTTGCATGTTTTAAAATTGTACTGAATAAACCAAACTAAACTGAAGAGAAAATAAAAAATAAACAAACCTCAAACCGAAAAGAAAAACAAAATCTTAACAAATAATAAAACATAAATAATTTGTAAGCATCTCGATTAATAGTTCAAACCTAAATTTAAAAAAATATTAAAATTTAACTTAAGCAACAATAATTTCATAAATTTATAATAAGCAAAAAATATTAACCTTCTTATTCCGAAGTCTGCCTTTTAAAGTTTTTGCTTATTCTGAAGTACGACTTTTGGCATTTTTAAACATACCTCTATATTTTACTTAAAAACTCAAAAACTTGTTTTCAAACCAATTGTCCACAGCAGTCTTAAAAAACAACTTTACATGATTTTATTTTAAACTTTACTTGCATTTTCACTTTGAAAACCAGATAAATTATGACTTTCTAATGTCCTGTTTTCTACTCACACAAAATCAATTTATTGAAAACAACTTATGCTAAAAATCCTGCATGCTGAGTTGCGAATCTACACAATTGTTTGTTTTTCATTTACCAACAACTTAGCTAAAAATCCTGCAGGCTGATTGGTCAAACCTACAAAATTGAGCAAACAGAGTTAAAGGGTTAAGCATTAAATAATAAAAACATTTAAAATTCTTATCAAATTAAATTAAAAAACCTTTTGTTTGCAATTTCATTCAAAATATTGAATTAAAATTTTATAATGGATTTAAAATGTAACATGCAGCTTAATGTCATTATTATCTTTATATCTAAACAGAAAAATACAAACTGTAATTTCACAACAATTTAGCAAGAAATCAAACAAATTTTATTTTAAAATAATTCTAAAGTAACCGTATAATTTTATAACATAAATACAAACAATTAAACTAAATATAAAAATAAATTACTAATTAATTAAAACCTACAACTTGTGATTAGCTGTGGAACTAAAAATTAAAATTAAAACATTGTTATTTGATTTTAAACATTTAAAACAAAATCTATTGTTATAAAATCTAAGTTATAATCCTTTAAATATTACCACCAGACAATAAGACAGACCAGACAATAACACAGACCAGTCAATAACACAGACCAGACAATAACACAGACCAGACAATAATACTGTACTAAATAATTAGATTCATATAAAACGTAATCTAACATAAAGTTCTATAAAACTAATAAATAATAAAAAACCTCTTAGTTATATTTTAAAGGTCATTGTCAGCTACTTTTGATTTAAAAAGCCTGTTAGGATACAATTTCAGTATATCATCTACAAAATAGAATATGTTTTATTTCCTAACACCTTAAAAAATAAACTTTAGTAGTTCTAAAAACGGATAAAAAAATTACAAAAGATATATATTATTTATAAAAGAATGATAATAGACAGATTTATAAAGGTTTAATAGAAAATTCATATTTGAAAACCTGTGTGCACATCAACAATGCTTGGCATTTTTAGGTTTAAGTATCTAAGTTGGTTCATTATATAGAGTATTATACTATTTTGATGGTTTTCTTAATTCTGACATTTTTGCGGATTTGTTTCAGAATTATATAAACAGAGGATAGAGGTTTTTTTACTTTGATTTTTCAGACTTTTGTGAGTTTTAAAGCAATTGAGAATTCTACATTATACAACTTGGTCAAAGCTCCTTTCATGTTTTAAGTTAGTGAGTTTAAAAAATGCGCTGAATAAACAAATGTAAGTCTAAACTAAAATTAAAAATAAACAAACTATAAATTGGAAAAAGAAATAAAAACTGAAAAAAATAAATACAAAACAAAACTAAAAAAAATTTAAATTTAAACAAATAATAAAATGAATAAAATACAAACTATAAAAAATAAAAACATAAAATTTATATATATTTTTATTTTAATTCAAATAAGTATTTCACTACAGAAAATAAAAAATCAAAGTTTCAAAGTTATTAATTTTTTAAAAACTTAATTATTTAAAAGTTTGAAACCAATATTTTCTAATGTCTGCAAAACAAATAAAGCATTGAAAAAATAATCCGTTGGTAGGATTTGAACCCTTAACCAATGTCGACATAGCAATGGCACCTCATAAATGACACAATCAATCTATGCGCTTTATAATGTGGTGACGTAGTAAAAATTATTAGCTTTAAACTCTTAATTGAAATTTTAAATTTATTGCCTTTTAAGTTAATTAAGTTTAAACTATTAATTGAGACGCTTCTAGATTAAAAAATATATTTAGATAATATATTAGCCTTTATTTTATCTGGTTTATCAACAATTATCATTCGTTAAGTTCATTTCTATTTTCAGTTTATGATTTGTTTATTTTTAATTTTCTCTTTAAATTAGTTTGGTTTTTTCAGCACATTTTCTAAAACACGCAATTATAATATATACAAAGAACCATGGCTAAGTTATTAAATAAAAAAAGTTGTGTGCATGGTCATATAAGGTATGCCACTGCAGGCATCTCTTAAAAAGGCTTGATTTTATTTCAAAACTGGATATGTCTATTATTGTTTCAGGAAGTTATGGAGGAAAAAATATTTTGTTCCTAAAACTTTCCATAATAAGCCAGTTTTACAGAGACTAAATGCATGTGCATATAATAGAAACCATACTTGGTTGCAGATAACAGCAACCAATCATAGTTTAGTAAAGGTGGTTTAATACAAATTTAAAAAAAAAAATCTAATTAATCTCTTTGCATATAATTTAATAAAATTACATACTTTTTTACTTTTCAAAATATTAAAAAATCATCATTTCAAAAATTTTCTTTAAATGATAAAACAAAGTTTTATCTCGATTTAAAATATTTACTAGAACAAAGTTGATAACCTGATTTAAAATAATTACTAAGACAAAGTTGATAACCTGATTTAAAATAATTAGTATAACAAAGTCAATAAACTTGATTTACAATATTACAGTAAAATGTTCTTTAAATTTTTAAAAACGTTATCAAAATAAAATATGTAAATTAATAAAGGGTTTTTTTTGAAGCCCAATAGAATTTCAAATTGGAAAAAGAAACACAAAAAATAAAACTGCAATTAAACTTTTATATTTATTTTAAAGATCAATACATGAAATTAACACCTAAAAATGATTTCTCTTGTAGATTAGTCTCACTCCATATGCAGCAATTTAATAGCTTGCTTGTTAACAAAACCATTAAGCCATGAGCAAATGAGCCTTATCGCTGAACTAAGTTTGGCAATAAATCAGCAGGTCAGTTACTAACTGCTCTAGAGCCCAATCTACAAAGGATCGACGCATATAATAGTCTTGCAGCTTTAATTTTTGCACCAACTGGATCTTATACAGGTGTAGACCAAGATCTTTACTCAAAATTTTCCATGTCATGGATGGATAGAGCCCTAATACCTGCGACTGACAACAAATGGATAAATTTGGATCCGCTTCCACACTTTTATTTACAGCAGCAATATTCTCTTCAGTATGTACATTCCTTTGACAAATTAATGTTATTGAATCCTATAGAGAGAATGTAGTACGAAATCTATCTACAGTTCGACAGATTGCTTGCTCAGATGGGCAGTTATGCAATTCATAAAAATTATGAAGTTGTCTATAAGTTGCACTAGTTAACAACTTATTTTCAAAATAAATTTTCATAATTTCATATAATATCAAGCATGATTATTTTCTAGAGAATACAAAATTTAATTTTTTATATTAAAATTTACAATTTAAAGTTCTATCGGGCTTAAAAAAACACCCTTTTTAATACTTGTATTAATATAGAAAAAATGTTAATACAATACTCGAAAATTAATATTACCAAGAAATAAATTATTATTATTAAATAACTTTTAATAATTTAATAATTGTGGATATTTTTATAAGTCAAGCAAGATATAAAATACAGCAACAAAGAAACAAGAATAATGAAGAAACAAATAAAATTTATTAAAAAATAACAAGTTTTGTTCAATTGAAAGGGAAAATGTCATTAGCATTAACAAATATTGACATTGATTCTTGACTTAATAAAACCTTTTTGGGGGAATCTTATTATTCGAAATGTTTCAACAAGTAACAAATGATTTGACATTTTTTTAATTAACAAAAGTTATAATTTGCACTGAAAAATTAACCATAGTTTGTAAATTTTTTTAATCGTTAATTTAGTAATTAATTTTTTTATCTTATTAGTTTATTTTTATTAACTAATTTGATTTTTAAAGTTGTAAGTAATTTCATCTTGTATAATTTAGAAAAATTTTGAAGAACGTGCAAATGAGCAACTTTTTAAAAAATCTAAATCTATGTCGAAAGAAGAAAATAAAGAAAATAAAGATGATTTAATTGAAGACTTTGAAGAAATTGAAAATGATGTTTTGGAGGATGCATCACCAATAAAAAAAAAAGGTTTTGCTCGCGATAAATCAACACAATTGAGAAAACATTCCTCAAGCAAACTTAAAGGACAGGATGAAACTAAGCATAAAATTTTTAAAAGGCGCAGTTTAAGTAAAACCTCAAAAATAACAACAAAACAAACTTCTAATTTAAGTTTAAAAGAAAATGAAAATGCAAAACAATCAATATCTGCTAAACCATCTCAAGTTCCAGAAGTTTCAATAAAAGACAAAAATATTCCGGTTGAATCAAAAGAACAGCCAAGGTATGGACGATTTTCTAGTTCTATTTCAGTTAATCCCTTTGTTGAATTGAATAAAGGTGATGTGACTTTATGTAACCCATCTGCTACTAACCATTTAAATGGTATTCCTATCTTTAAACAAACATTTGTTAATAACAATGATAAGGGTACTACTCTTATTAATCAAAAATTGGCTAGTGCCCATGATAAAAATTCTCACACTGGTAAACAAACATTTGATACAAATTTTGAAAAATATAACTTTATAATTAATCAAAAATCAACTAGTACTCATGATACTCATAATAAACAAACATCTGATAAAAACTATGAGAAAGGTTTTTTTAATCAAGTAACCACTGGTACAAACAATAACATGAGTACTTACATTGGTAAACAAACAGTTGAAAAAAGGCCTGCATTGCATAAGTTATCAGTTGACACTGCATCATGTATTGTTAAAAATTCAAATGTTAAGCGCAAGTCAACTTTTAAATCAAAGCACAAACGTTTTAGCGCATCTACATTGCATCTTAAAGAAACAAAAAACAACAATATTTTAAACAACATAGCACAAGGACCTGCAATTAAAAAGTCTAAGTATGAATCTAATTCACCAAATGATTCTTCAAATTTTGTGAAAAAAAAATCTTTGGATAAGACCTTACTTGTATCTGTAGAAGAAAATAAAAGAACTGAAGTTAAAACATTCTCTGAAAATGACAACGAAAAGTTCAATAGTGAGCCTCAATTAACTTCAAGTGAAATGCCTAAAAAATATATTGATGGTAAATTTGTATTACATACAAAAATGGCCTCTTACAATCCAGTTAGTCCAGTTATAGTTCCAAATATAACAATTACTTTGCAGGATTCTGTTCCTGTTACTCCACAAGATTCTGTTGATTTGCAAGAAGTAGATACCATTGATTATGGATACACTCGAAGTAGAGGAGTTAAAGCTCGAAAGACAAAACCAAATCGGCTATGTCCAATGGGGAGCAAAAATTATCGTGCTGTTACAGGAATGATTATGCGGGCAAAGACCTCTGAAAATTCTGAAAATGCTTTACAAAATGAAATAAAAAGCCATTTACCTTGCAAACAAAACACAAAAAGAAAAAAAAATGTTATTGCAAAAATAAATTCCAATAAATGTTAATAAATTTGTTTATCATCAAAAAAGTTTCAATATAAAACATTTAACATTATTTTATGAACAATAGTGCTGAATTATGTTGATATTTTTTACCAATTGGTTGGTCTCTGATTATATTATTTGCTTTTTGAGAACTTCTCAATTTTATCCTGAAAATAATAAATGTATTTTTAATGTTAAAAAGCCAATAGTATTTTTGTTTGAATTTTTTTATAGTTCATAAAGATCAGCGTTATTATTTACTATTTTTAATTATTATTAGTTTTTATTATCTCTTTTATATAATTCTATATATTTATCTCCTATATACCTCTTCTAACTTACTTATTTTTCACATCATCAATATATTTAAAACATACAGCATAATTTTTGCATATTTAAAAATACTATTTTAAAAAGGTAAAATAAATTTTACTCATTAATACTGCTGCTCTAATTTTTTTATCCTCACAGGGAAATAGTATCACTATTCAAAATCTTTTTTTTAATACTAATACACTTTCATCATGAATGTAAGCAACCACTTATTCATTTGCAAGCAACCACTATTTCATCTGCAGACTTTTTTTTCTGTTGAAAAGTTATAGAGGAAAATATCAATATTTCGATAGAAAAAATAAGTTTTATGATTCTTGAAAAAAAAGAAAAATAAATAAAACTAGATTTAATTTTTTTAAGTTTAGTTGAACTATTGTATTGTATTGTTGATTTAAAAGTTTTTTAAGAAAGTAAATATAATAAATCTAAATTATCCTATATCAGTCAGTGTTACTTAAATTTGTAATGGTTTATCAAAAAAAAATTTAATTTCTCAATTGATTTAGAAATAATTCAGAAATAAAAAATGTTATTGCTTAGTCTTACACAGTTGAAAAAAAAAGTGCTTGATGCTTGAGTGCTTACAAGTTGAAAAAGTGCTTGGTGCTTGTCTCTAGGAAATCTTTTGGTGGGCTGATAGTACTACAACTGATAGGCACTCAATAAATAATCTTTTTTTAATTTGGACATGTTTAAGTTTAATTTTTCATTTCCTATTTTTCTTATCTCTATTTATAAATTATATATTTTATTAAAATGACTTGAATGTTCTTAATCAAGTTTTTTGCTGTTGATTTCTTTATTTTTTGACAGCCTGTCTTCATGCTCCAGGTGCACCATTGAGAGTTGTGTGTCATTGTTCTTAGTGTGTCAATAAAAGAAACAACTGGAAGGAAAAAATCCTGCTGGACCAATCTTTCAAAGACTTTCACATTCTTTATGATTATACATTAGCCAGTGTTTAACCATAAAATGACTACTGCTGAATGTGAAATAAAACTAACCATTCAATAGAATGGGTCCGAAACATAGACTAAGATTGTAGAAGATGATGCACTACTCCAAGCAACAAATAAAGCTCCATTGCTGTAAGCATATCAAGTGAAAAAGATTCATCAAGGGTATTAATATGATTTGTGTGTGGAATAAATTTCTGAATGCACTTCCTTTCTTGAAAATTGATTGCCTGAAAATCCCTGTTATTTCAAGAGATTTTCATGCACTAAGTTAAATGCACCAAGTTAGATTTTTTGATGCCATTGTCACACTGTAAGTATTGGTTTGCACTAGAATGAGCTTGTAGACTGCAAATTATAATAGCCAGTTTCTCTCTGTTCTTCAGGACAGAACATATGGAAGTTTAACAAGGTTCAACAAATTTAAAACTTTATTTAGTTGCTATAATTTTTCTTAAGATTTTTAGAAATAGCAATCAGTAACTGGCTCAAGATCCTGAGTTTTCATTTAAGGTCTTTTGTTAAAAGGCTCAGGGCTTGTGATGATGAATTTTGAAAATGATTAGAGAAAATATGTTTGGTTTATGCAACTCATTAACTTGAAAAAATAAAACCTAAACCTTAATTATTACCTAGAAGAATTAGAACTGGGTTGCCTCTTAATCCCTGCTTTTTTAGACAAGCTGTTTCATGAGGTTATAATTATTTGTTGGCAATGAATGATTTCTCTAGTTTTTGGGTTAATAAGAGTGGAATTGTTAATAAGAGTGTTTTGCTTTGTCATCTGAGCATACTAATTAGTCATACACAGAATCTCTTGTAAAAGGTAAACTTTGATATTTTCAAAGTTAGAAAGTTTTGGATGAGTTTAAAGCTTTTCCTCTTCAAATCTCTAAAGGAACAATCACATACAAGTTGTTACTCTCAGATCATTTCAATTGGTTGCTTCGTTTATCTTTTGGTTGATATACATCTTTCATTGTTCACAGTTGGTTGATTTGTTTAGCTTTTATTATTAGCAAATATTTATTAAACTACTAAAGCTAAAACAGTTTTGCTGGAATTTTATCATATTATTTTACTGAAAGAACTATTTCAATTCTTTTTTAAATACATAAAAGTTTTTTATTTTTTATTTGACTGAAAAATTTGACAAATAATTAGTTTCTGTGCTATTGCAAACCTTTATTTAATTCTCCTACTATTAGTAGAAAATAATACAATAAGCACAGATTTTTAATTTCAGACTTTTTCCTATGGAATTTCAAGATTTATATCTCATTTATACTTCCATTAATAGTACTATCATTCCACCTAAGGATTTTTTAAGGTCATGACATCAAAAAACTCTTTCATTTTTTTTTTCAACTGCAGTTTGTTGTAATTTAAACACAGTTTTCATTTTTTTAGGTCATTACCCATTTTTGAGGATATTAAAATGCCCTGCGAATTGGCATTTTAAGTTTCGAATCTTGAATCATAGTGGGTCTTGATTTACGAATCGAATCACAAATTGACTCAGCAATATGAGAAAACCTAAATTTAATCTTTTTTTGGAAGAAAAAAAAATCTACTTAAAATTTTTTTTTTGCCTGGAATAATTTTTTAGCAGTTGTTTGGAAGCAGTATTACAATTACTTTCATTTAAAATTACTTTACTCTAGCTGAGATAAATAAAAACATTTTGATAGTGTCTTATATCTGAAAAAACAACACTCGCAAAATAAATAGTATTTGGAAAAACTCAAATCATTTTAATCTAATCAAATCTTGAATAGAAGTGACACTTGATTTGCAAATCAAATCGATTAGCAGGGTCTTAGATACACCTATAATACTTTAAAACAGTTTTTTTTTTCATAAATTATTTGTAGAGTTGAATATTTTAGAATACATAAGCTATAAAGTTTCTAAACCACTTGTGTTATGAACTAATATTAAGTTTTGTTACTAATCAAGTTAATGAGACAACTAAGTTTTTTTAAATATAGGTAATAAAATAGTAAACTGCATCATTTCATGTATCTTTTCTATTAAAATTATTTAATTCCATGATATTTAAAAATATTTTTTATCAATTATATATAAAAGATAAGTTTAATCTTCTTATTATGTTATTTTGATGTTTATAAACCTTTTGAACAGTGGTTGGCCATCCTTGATTTTACTATGGTCAGATTTTAATATGATTAAAAAAAGTTAAATGTAAGGCACAAGAGGATCTGTGAACCAAGTTACAAAACATAAAAAAGGTGTGGGAACCAGGCTAGAGCCATAAATTCTTTAGGTCAAAACTTTATTCTTGCTTTTTAAAAAGATACAAAGCAGTATAATTGTGCTCTTGATACTTGTCTCTTTGCACTGAATTTCTTGATACTTGTCTCTTTGCACTGAATTTCTTGTAGACATACTAGTTACAAATACAGTTTCTAGACAGGTTGACTTTTAGAGTATTTGTGACAAGTAGACAGGATTTAAAAGTTATTAAAAATTTTGAAAGGTGATGGTTTTAAATGATAAGTTTTTTGTTTTTTTTATTGGGGAGAAATTTTGAAACAAATTAATGTAATTTTAGTAAATTTTTAACCAATACTTGTAATTCAAGTCTTTATCTTTCATATTTATTACAATTAAAAAAATATTTATTACAATTAAAAAAATTGTTTAGGAGGCTGAAATTCTACAATACACAAAAGTTACAATATATTTTTATAATAAACAGTATTTGTTTTATTTTTCAAAAAAAACAATAGCATAATATTTTTTTTAACACACAATTGCCTCAAAGAAAAAGTACATAAAGGTAGGTGTTGTATCAGTGTTGAGGTTTTTATAAGTATAATAGTAGCTCTGTAAGTAGATGCAGTTATTTTATAATGTAATTTTAGGGGGTGGTCATATTGTTTCACCTAAAATTTAATAGTAGCTCTGTAAGTAGATGCAGTTATTTTATAATGTAATTTTAGGGGGTGGTCATATTGTTTCACCTAAAATTTAATAGTAGCTCTGTAAGTAGATGCAGTTATTTTATAATGTAATTTTAGGGGGTAGTCATATTGTTTCACCTAAAATTTTAAGAAGTTTTAAAATCAACTAGCTAATGTATTCCCAGTTGTTTTTTTGTTGTTTTTTGTTGTTTTTATTTTTTGCATTCACCTCCCTAAGGCGTGCAAGGCCATTACCTAAAACATGAAAGGTCACTATAATTGATGAGAATACTCATTGTTATATATTTATCTATTCAATGTTACAACTTTGCTTTAATCTTTTAACTCTGAAACATGAACCTTGACAAACAAGTTGCTGCATAGAAAAATAAATTTTACTAACAGGGGCGTGGTGGGGATCGAACTCAGAACTTCTCGCTTATGAAGCAAGCGCTCTACCACTATACCAATACCGCATTTGAAAACTACCTAGATTGTTTTATGAACTTTATATTGTTTAGTATTTATTGTAAATTTATATATTTATGAATAAATATATAAATTTATATATTTTTTTGTTGCTTTCCAAGGTGTTAAAGCCATACATAAGAAAGTGTGAGTCCTGGCTAATAAATCTGGCTAATAACCCTGGCTAGTTTCTATAACTTCAATACAAATTTTTGTAATGTTATATCTCCATTAAAATGCTATTTTATGTTTTTCTTCCATAAAATGTTGTTTTGTACTCTTTATCTTACTTATCAATTTTGTCAACTAAATAAATTTTTTTACTTTTATTTAATAGTAATTTTTTATTTCATAGGCCAGTTTCACCAAAAAACTTTTTTGAAAAATGGGTTGAAGATTTCCTAATAAAAAAGAAAAATGTAGATGAAACTTCTCAATCTGTTGCTTTTTCTATTGAAACTGCTGCAATGACTGTAATGGTTGTGCCTCTTTTAATGGAGTGTAGTAAGGCTACTCTTAGACAGAGTTCAGGATCAAAATTGAAGGAACTTAGAAGTAGTTTTATAAACCCTAGCTCAAGTTCAAATGAAAAAAAAGAGATAGTTCAGGTTCCTTATATTTATTTATTTATCTTTTTTTTTTTTCAATTTTTTTGAATATTTTTTAAAATTTATTTTTTACAAATATTTACTGTTATTCCTCTAAGATCCTTTTACAGTTATTCCTCTTACCACCAAAATTTTGATGATTCTTTTTTTTCTTTCTCCCTTGTTTTATATTATTTATTTTCTATTTCCTTATTTACTTTAAGAAAAAACAATTTTCTTTTATTAAATGTTTTAAAGTTTTTATATGACCCTTTTACCACCAATTCATCAAAAAACTTCTAATATCCTACAACGCTCAATAACTTTAACAAGTCAGATTTTGAAAATTTCATAACTCATTTTTAAATAAGTTTAATGTTGTCTTTTTTTTTAGCATCTTTGTTGTTGTTATTTCTCAGTACTTTTTGTTGTTGTTGTTTCTCAGTACTCCTTGTTATTGTTTAATTTTAATTTAAAATTTAATTTTAAATGTTAATGGTATATTGCTTTCTGTATTATGTGTACATTTCCAATATTGTTTGTATGATATTGTCTAGTGTTACAAATTTATCTCTTTAAAAATATTTTATTTTCATTTTTATATATAGATTTTAAAATGAGCATTTGCAATGTCTATTTTGTATATTTTTCAGTTAGCATTTTGTTATTGCAGGTTTTCAAATTAAAAAAAGTATTTTAATTATGTAATACAATATTAATATAGGTTTTTTTATAAAAATTAAATAACAAGTCCTTCTTTAACTTTGAAAATATTCAGTTTCTTTATAAGACTAATATACTTGCTAATATATTTTTAACTGAATGTCTCTTTTATTGTGTACAACTATTTCACAGAATGTTTTTTTTTTTCATTGAATTCATCTATTTTTGTAGACAACAATTTCACTTTTTTTTTTTAATAAACTAGATTTTTTAATTATTAGTGAATACTTTTCATTCCTGATATTCTTTTTTTTTTGTTACTGAATTCTTTTTTGTGTTATCACAAATTTTATAAAATTGTTTTTTTAATAAAATGTTTTAATTTTAATTAAAACATTTTATTAAAAAACAACCATGTTACTGTGTAACTTTGGATATAAAGATTTGGTGTTTGATAACAACTTATCAAGACCACAAAGCAGTTTTAGTGGGGATTAGAGCATGTTATCAAAATTTTACTTTGATTCTATTGAGTTTTGATAACATAACATACTTCCTTTAAAAAATTAACAGTGCTAAATTTATGTAGACTGCATATGGTAAGTGTTGATGGCAGTGGAAATTGTTTAGTGTAGTAGGGCTTCTCTTATTTATTATCTTCTCTTATTTATTAATTTTAGTCTAAATTTTCTCTTTACGTTTTTTTTATTAGTACTCAGAATGTTGTTGAAAGTTTTATTTGGTTTTTGAAAAAAGTATAATAAAGAGAAATATAATTTTAGATAAGCAGAAATACAAGCGTGAAAAGCACTGTTGCAAAATACAAGCAAATAGCAGAGAAGGATTTATCTCATAACAGTTATTATGATTTTTTGAAGAAAAACCGTGCCAATTCACCTGACCAAGTGTTAGTGTTTTTTCGTTTTGTTTTTTGTTAAGTCTTAAGTGTAATAAAGTTGTATTTAACTTGTAAAATCATAAGTTTATGTAATAGATTTGTATTTAACTTTAATTTTTTTTTTTAGTGATGCATCTACAAATTTGTTGGTGGAAAATGATTTTCAAGTGAAAGAAATTATTGATGTTGAAAAAGCTTTACTTGATAATAACAATGAAGAAAAGAAACGATCTCGGCTAACTAAGGTGATGACTTACTTAAACAAGTTTGCATGTGCTATCATAACATTTGTAATGTTAATTGGAGCTTCTTTGATAGCTGTTCACTTCATTCTTCATTCATAATATCTGGTTCAATTAAAGTTTTTATTGTTGCTTATTTTTTTTCTACTGTTTTGTATTTTTTTGTAATTCATATTAAATCGGGTTAACAGAATTTTTTTTAATGATTTTTTTTTTCATAGTTTTAACTTAACTTTTTAGAGTTACTAATAAATAAATTTTTTAGTGAATAAAAAAACTTCTTGAATACTTTTTAATGCTTCATGCTTCTTTTTTTTTTTAATTGTTTGTATCTCGTTTTAAATCTTTTGCATGTTCTTTTTTTTATACAATGTTTTTTCTTATTTCTTATTTTAATTAAATAATGACAAGAAAGTTGACAAGTGATGACTATGTTACCTAAAGAACAAAGGTTTTATTATGTTAAAAAGTACATTTTTTTTTTTTTTTTTTTTTTGGGTTATTTTTTACCAATCTGCTTTTTATTGTTTTTTTTTTTTTTTATGTTTTTTATATTTCAATATTTTTAATCAACTTTTTAAATGTTTTTGTATTACACTTCAATTTTTCTTTTCTTTTTCTAGTAAAGCTTTTATTTTTTGTTTATTTTGAATCTTCATATTTAAATAATAGTGTCTTTAACATTTTAAAAGAAAAGCTCAATGAATGATGTCTTAAAAATTTTAAGCCAAAAGCTCAATTGATAATAATGTCTTTAACATTTTAAATGAAAAGCTTAATGGATATTTGATGCATTATTTAATGTCCAACATTTTATTATTATTTAAAGACTGATCCTAAGCTATATATCAGTTTAATAATAGTTTTTAATTATTGTATTTTTAAAGTTTAAACACAATTCTATGAAATGGAAATTTAAAATATTATATATTTATTTGAAACTTAGTTTCTTGAATAAAGATATGTACACAACTTTTTCTGTTTTGTATTTTAACAATGGAATGTTTTTTAAAAATACTTTTCTTAAGTCTAGATTTTATGAGTTAAAAATTTAAAAGTTTAACTTAAAAATTTTTAAGAAAATGTACAAAGTTTATTTTAGTAGTAAAAAAATTTATTTGTGATTTTAAATCTTTTAACAGAAAATTGACTGTCATTAATTTGGTATAAGAATATTTAATAAATAGACATTATAATAAATAATTATAATTTAGATTTTTGATTTATTAAAAATGTTTTTTGTTGTAGTTGTTATTTTACAGCTAGTAAAAACTTTTTAAAACATCGCACAAACAAAAAGTTTTTAAAGACTTGTAACAGCTGTAATCAACCAACACTGGTTAAAACAAAAGTATTGAAAATAAAGTCATTTTCAATACACAGAAATTAAGTTTAAACATTTATCAATATGAATATCTTTTTTAAAGTGTAATTAGATTTTTTAATTAAAAACATGTGTGGAATGATGTAGTTCCCTGTTACAAAGAATCTGAAACAAAAAATGACAAAAGACAGCATTACAAGCACCAAGAGAAACGTATGAAGAAAGATTTAATTTAAATTTAGTAATTATTTTATAAAAGATAGTTTATTTTTGAATTTTTATTTAGAAACCATCCCACGAATCGTTTTTTGATCTAGAAAGTCCATTAAAAATGATATCTGCTTTGGAAAGGTTATGTGATTCTCAAACTCCATTGAGTGCACTTCTATTACTTCAAGTACTTTATAACATCCACAAGTAATATCTTTTTTAGTTGTTTCTATATATTCAAATATCTATTTTATATATATATATATATATATATATATATATATATATACATATATATATATATATATATATATATATATATATATATATATATATATATATATATATATATATATATAATTACACTTTGACCAAGTTGTGAACAATTTGTAAGGGGGAGGGGGCAGTATTAGCATTTATAAAAACTCTAACTTATTATGAAAACAACTAAAATTCATTTGTAAAATTCTAATTTCGTAAAAAAATATTTTAATGTTCAAATTTTATGAAAGCTGAAACTGTCACAAGTATTTTATATATATATATATATATATATATAGATATATATATATATATATATATATATATATATATATATATATTATATATATATATATATATATATATATATATATATATATATTTTGTATAAAATATATATATATTTTTTTTTGTATAATATATGCATATATATATATATATATATATTTATTTTATAATATATATTTTTTTTTGTATAATATACATATATGTATTTTTGTATAATACATACATATATACATATATATATATATATATATATATATATATATATATATATATATATATATATATATATATATATATATATATATATATATATATATATATATATATATATATATATATAATACAAAGTCAGGGTGCGACAAATCATTTTTTTTTAAATAAACGTTGATGCTTGTATCTTTATTTATTGACAAACTTCTAATTTAAGGGGTATATGATAAATAAAGGAGTTTTTTTTTCAAATAATTTTTTTATTCAAATAGTCTTATATTAAATTATAAAGGGAGATTTATTTTCAAATAACTTTTTTCTAGTTAATGAATCATTATATATATCAAACATTCAATACAATATTTCATGCATTTGCAAAGTGTGCACAAATTAATGATAAATAAAGACCATTTTTTACAAGACGAAAAAAATCGCACAAAGCACTTTTTTTTGTCATGAAGCAATGCCGTTTTGATTTCCACATATTATTTTTCGCCTACTATTTTTTGTTATCAAAAATAAAATGGGAGCTACAAGTTTGCGCTGTATGCTTTAGAAAAAATAAATATAAAAAATAGTTTTGGATGTATATCTGTATTGTAATTGTTTTAAATGTTTAAGAAAATAAATGCTAACTTCTCATAGGAACACCTCTGTGGAAAAAATGTTACTGCAAAAAAAAAATAATAGATGATTCAACTCTGAAAGAAGATAACCTTCTGGTGAAGGGAATCATATAAACTTGAGGATATTAAAAGAAAAGGTTTTTATTTTAATTTAAAAAACTATCAATTGCATAATTATTTGGAAAAAAATTACTGAAAAAATGTTCATTTTTGTCTTTTTTTTTAAAGAAATGTTTGCACATTCACCAATTTGTTGCATCCTGAAAATATTATATGAATATATTATACAAAATACTACATGAAGATATTATACAAATCATTATAAGTGTATATTTTACAAAATATATTATGGAAATGTCTGAAGTATTATTATATATATGTATATATATATATATATATATATATATATATATATATATATATATATATATATATATATATATATATATATATATATATATATATATATATATATATATATATATATATATATATATATATATATATATATATATATATATATATATATATATATATATATATATATATATATATATAAATAACTAATAATAATATAAATATAAATAATATAAATAAATATATATATAAATAAATAAACATTTAATCTTTTACTGTTGAGGATATTATATAAATTAGGGTGTTCTTATGATAAATGTTAAATAGTTGAAACAGGACTGAAGATCTAATTTCCTATATACTAACATTAAATGCGTTCACATCAGTATAAGGGAAAAAGTTTAGCAGTTGTTGAGCATTTATTTTCAAAAAATGTAACCTTTGTAGTTTCTAGTGGGATGGTCACAATACATTAAAGATTATTATAAAGGGAGTTATTGGCTATAATAAGAAAAAAGGAGGAAGACAAATACAAACCATGAGAGTATATTTTGCAATAGCAATTTTGACTGTGGATGAAGGTGATTATGTAACCAGATTATTTTTTAAAAACATGTTTCAATTTAAAGGACATATTTACAAGGATAAATTATCAGGGTGTTAGCCAGCCCAATGACACGCACAACATTCCCAATGGATTTAAAATTCCTGAAATTCAATGACACATTTATACACACATATTATATATTTTACAATTGTATATATATATATATTCTATATATATATATATATATATATATATATATATATATATATATATATATATATATATATATATATATAATATATATATATATATATATATATCTACTATAGTATATTTATATGCGCAATTGCTCACTTTTTTTGCTAGCCTAAATTAAGTGAGCATTTTTAGAAAACGATGAGGGAAAACGAAGAATAATGAATGAAAATGTTGCTGACCCATACCAAACCCTCAGTCGATGTAGCAGCACTCCACGGCGAGTCAGGCTATTTGTCAGTCGATGTATGTACTGAAGCCCCCAGCAGCAGGCTATTTGATGTTAGGTAGTTATGACATCATCATGCTCACCTAAGTCAGCAGTATAAGATATATATATACACACATTTATACACACATATTATATATTTTACAATATATATATATATATTTATATATATATATATATATATATATATATATATATATATATATATATATATATATATATACACACACACACATTTATACACACATGTTATATATTTTACAATATATATATATATATATATATATATATATATATATATATATATATATATATATATATATATATATATATATATATATATATAATTCATCATAAAGGACATATTTACAAGGATAAATTTATATGTATATATATGATTTATCCTTGTAAATATGACCGTTGAGAATGAAACAACAAAATCAGTTTAGTTTATAAATAATATCTATTTTTAGGCGTATTCAGATGTTTCCAAGTGAAGACAAGTATTATCGTGTGTACACCAAAGGAATGATATTTGAAAGATATGTGTGGATTTTGGACGGAGCTGAAGCTTTTTTACAACTTTTAGGATGGGTTAAAGTAAATAAAATGAATTTGAAAAAATCTTATTAATAAACAGTTCACTTTTATTAAGCATTATTATTATTATTTTAATATTAGTAAGTAAAATGAATAAAATATTTAAATGGTTTTGATGAGTTAATGAAATAGTTAAATGGATAAATTTAGATTAATTTGGTTTTAGATGTTAAATGGATAACTTTAGATTAAGGGGTAAACAGATTCCATATGTTGACCAGCCTTGCACTCCTTCTTCATCTATTAGGCTGGCACAGATGTATTTTTTAATACATTATTCTTGGTTTAGGATGTTGAATGCTGGATCTTCTTGACTCAATGCATGGGTTTTACTTTCGTCTCTGTTTTTATGACTAGGCAACTCATCCTATTATCTTCTAATGAAGGTACAACTCTAAAACTCATTTTTATGGTTCTGAGGCCGGCTGGTAGTCAGGTTTCCCAACCTCTGTGGTAATCAGAGAGGCTGATTCCATGTTTTTACTTTTGGTGTGCATTGCAGTGTATGTGATGAATAAATCACCCAGCGCGAAATTTTGCGCTTATAATACTGAATCACGTTATCAACGAGCGCAATTATGTGTGCTTAGCATCAAGTCTTCAAGAGCAATATTCTGAGTTGGAAATTGGTTGCCATGGGGTCATCCATAAATTACGTATGCAAGTATGGGGAGGGGTCACTCAAAACCATACCAGAGCATACAAGAGAAAGGGTTGATGATTTTTTGTTTTAATTTTTTTCATGTAAAGTCAGGGAAATCAGATGAAAATGTTTTGGTTTTTTAGTAAATGCATTTGTCTATCTACCAGAAAAATATGTTACTGCAGCTTTGATATTAAATAAAAACAATGAAATATTGCCATTTACTAAAAGTTGAAAACATAACTTTGTTTCCTATTTAGTTGAATTAACATGCTTGCCTCTGGACATTCTAAACAACATATACGTTTTTAATTTAATTTATAATAAATATTAGTTTAGAATAAAAATAAAAAGATTAAGAACATTACTTTTTATTTACAAAAGATGTGTGAAATATTAAAAACAATAAAGCAAAAGAATCTTACATTTTTACAAATTCTTGGGGATTAAAATGGATAATATGATAAAGTTCAACTGGAATTTATCAAAAAACATGCTGATAAATTTACAAATAAATTATGCATGACATACTTTATTACAAATATAACTTCTGTATTTCCAAACTTTACTGTTTAAACATATATTGACTTCAGCAAAAAAATTTTACTAAAAATATTTTCTATAAAATCAATTTATAATTTTCTCTCTTGCAAGTTCCTCAGACCAGCGCGGTTTTTTACTCTCATAACAAAATTAGCGAGTAATATTTGTCACGCCCGGAAGGACATTTACAGGGGTGTTTCATGTGTGTGGAGCAATCGCTCCTGCTTTATCACAAGTGCTGCATTTTCAAAGCTATATTTGGAGCATTATGTTATGGTTTAGGGTTTATTAATAGTAATGAGGCAATTGCTTGGGCTATTGAACAGTGTGCTGAGTACTGTCTATGCTTGAGTCAAGTACTTTAACAAATTTAAAAATTATTAAAGTACCAAAAACTATAAAACACAATAAACCATTGTTATCACCAAGTTCTCTAAACCTATCAGTTTTGATGACCAACGAGTCACCCTGGTTGAGTGGTTAGCGCACTGAACTCCTGAACATAAAAGCTGTGGGTTCGAGTCCAACAACCGGCAATTTTATTTTTTAATTTTTAAAATTTTTTTAAATATAAAATACTTGTGAAATTTTGTAAAGTTATAAACAAACATATTTAACGACATTATACACTTTAACAAACAAAAAGATTTTTAAAAAAGCTAAAAATATTAAAAACAATTAAAAATGGGGAGATATTTGTTGCGTATATATCATGGTTGAGATTTTATTTTAGTTTTACATTTCAAGTTTTTTTCCAGCTAAATTGAGTTTTTGCAAGAAAAATGAGTATACAACATGTTTATATATAGAATATAAAATCTATAGAATTTTAAAGTTGTTTTGTTTTGCATTTTAAATAACAAAAAAGCAAGCTAATGATTTGAACTTGCCATGTTAACTTTTTAAAAACAGTAAGGGTTAAAAAATATGTTTTATATAAGAACATAATTGAAAATTTTAATTTTATACTTAAATTAAACCATTTTATTGAATTAATTTTAAATAATTATAAGTTATTTAATATTAATAAAATAAGGAAATTTAGAGTTATACAGCTATTTAACCACGCCCCCGTTAAACATTCAAAACCAAGTGCGCAACAATGACATAATTTAGATAACCATCAAAATAGTATTATACTCCATTATTTTTTGGCTTTATATACTTTTAGGCTAATCCCTAATCCTAACTTTTAAATAAGGGATCGTCCATAAATTATGCAACGCTAAATTTTACTTATACACAAAACAAAAAAGATCACAATTTTCCCTCGCAGAGTCATATGAAAAATAAAAAATAAAAATAGCTCAGTTTAATTAAAATCGCCACCTAAAAGAACTGAAGATATCTTTCTTCAACATTAAATTTATTTAAAAATAAATTTAATGTTGCATAATTTATGAATGATCTCATAGCGTTTTATAGTCTATAGTTTTTAATGGTCTAAGATCTTCTTAGTTCTGCTATTTGGATAGCGTTGCATATAAACAGGGTCAGACTGGCATTTAGGGACCTGGGGAAGACATAGATGCAGGTCTGCCCTATATATAAAAATTTCCCTATATTACATATGAAAGATCTTTTCTTTTTTTTTTTACATTTAACCCTTAATCGCATAGTTTTTTCTTAAAAGGTATTGAAAATTTTCAATATTTGTGAAAATTTTCAATATTTGTGTATATATTGATTTTAAGAGGGGCCTAGGACCTTTAAACATAGCAGGAACTCAGGGGAGGGGGTGGGAAACCCCCCAACCACCCTTGCCAGTTCAAGCCTGCATACAAACGTCTGTTAATCTAAACGTCTTTAGCATATGTTTGCAGGCAGTATATGCAACAATAGGGTATAATAAATTTATAAAAATGAGAAAACTTTTGAATTTTTTTTTAACAATTGGAGACATTTTTTTTGCTATTTAATATTTTTTTGCTATTAATATTGCTATAATTATTATAGATATATACTATTATAAAATTTTGCTATGAATATTGTTATAAATACAGCAAGATTGAAAAGTTTTAATCTTGCTGTATTTGTCTTTAATCCCCTTAAACGACACTGATGACAGTGCACTAAACAACTGACCTAATAATGATATGTGGTTAACAAAAAAACAAACCTAATTAAAAATCTCTTATAAGCTCTAGGTATACTGAAATGTTAATTTTTTTGCTCCTATTTTTTAAAATGAGTTATTTTACATAAAAGTATTATAGTAAACAAATAATAGGTATAAAAATGATTGGTGGGGAATAGATAAGTATAGAAATGGTAGATTTGGTAAAGACCTGTATGTTATGTGTCTGGAAAGCTAGTTCACTAATATTCTTGGTCTTTGAAGTAACTTTTCTTATGTTCAGTCTATCTCTTGCAATTTCGCCAAACTTACTTGCTCTTTGTGAGACTAATTTGAGTTCAGCTGTCTCATCTTGTGATCTTAGTGTTGATGGTTACCTTCTTTTAATTCGTAAAGACTCAATAGTCACATGCTTGGCCTGGGCATTTACATTTGAAAGAATTCACCAATTCATCGGTAAACTAGATTTGAATCCATAGACTATTCTTTTATGTGCTTTCATCTAGCACCACTTCACTTCATCCCCTTTTTCTTTGTTCTATATTGCTCTCCTTCATCTCAAGACTGCACTCTTTTTGATGTAATTTCTGATCAAATTGACCAAGCCCTCTCTCTTTTTCCATCAGCCAATATTGTTGTTGTTGACGACTTTAATGCTTATCACACTGAATGGCTCGGCTCTAGTGTCAGTGAATCTGCTGACGTTAAGCCCCTCAACTTTTGCCTTTCTCAATCTCTAACTCAAATAGTCAACTTTCCAACTCACTTTCCAGGCGATCCGAATCATTTGATCCATATCTATCAACAAAACAATTCTCCAGAAAACAGGCGTCTGTTTATTACTGCTAGAAACCATTGTTAAAAGGTTTTGTCTAACACCAAAGCCCGATATTGGTCATGAAATCTCATATTTCATCACAAAAATTAGGTTCTTGTGACTTCTGGAGAATCTTTAATAGTATCAATAATAAGGGCAAATCTGTTATTCCACCTTTCTTGTATGGTTCAGACTTTGTCACCTCAGCTAAAGACAAAGCTGAATTGTTAGCTAAGAACTTTTCATCATTATCATCTCTTGATTCCATTAGCTGCATTCTACCTGATTTAGCCATCAAGCAGGTTGATCCATTGTTTGACATTTGTATCACTTCAGTTTCTGTATCAAAAGTGATTTCCTGCTTAGACTCTTCTACAGCTTGTGGTCCGGACAACATACCTGTTATAGTCTTGCAGAAGTGTTCTCCAGAGCTGTCATCTATACTTTCAAAACTATTTAACAAGTGCTTATCAGAGTCTTGTTTTCCAGTCCAGTTGCATCTGTTATCCTTATTTTCAAAAATTCTGGAGAGCAATCTGATTTGTCCAACTATTGTCCCATTAGTCTTCTTCCTATCATAAGCAAGGTTTTTGAATCTTTAATTAACAAACACTTAATCTCTCATCTTGAATCTAATAACTTACTTTCTGATCATAAATATGGATTTCAATCTTCTCGTTCTATGGCTGAAAATATCTTTAAGATTATTGAGGCCTTCCTTTCCAATCATAGTATAAAAGTTGTCCTCAATAGACAGCACTCTTCTTCTTATTCTGTAATTTCAGGGTTCCTCAAGGTTCAATCCTTGGCCCTATACTCTTTTTAATTTACATTAACGATTTTCCAGATATTCTCACATCTAAGGTGGCTTTGTTTGCTGATGATACTACCTTTTATTCTTGTCATGATAAGAAGCCAACACTCTCTGATTGTTTGGAGGGGGCATTTATCAACTTAATTTCTCTGCGCAACGGTCTTGCTTGTCAAGGTTCGTGTTTCGTATCATCTACCCTTCATCTTCTAGAATTAACTCTTACTTCCGATCTTTCTTGGAAACCATATATCAAATTCTTTGCAAAATTAGCATCTGCTAAGGTTGCATCTCTTTATCGAGTTTCATACTTTTTTACTCTGGATTCTACTCTCAATCTCTGTAAATCTCAAATCTGGCCTAATGATGCCCTTTCCCTTTTAGACAAGGTGCAAAAATGCATTGTAAACATAGTTAGACCTGCTCTTGCAGACAACCTCCAACCATTATCACATTGTGGTAATGTTGCTTCACATTCTTTTTTACAAATACTATAATGGGCACTGCTCTAAAGAGATAGTGCATCTTGTGCCATTTACTGAAATTAGTTCTCGAGTTACTTGTCATTCATTAAAGCCTCATCCTTTTCCTAAATGCTCCAAAAACTCTTATTTCTCTAGTTTTTTTCCTCAAACATCAGTTCTTTGAAATTCTCTTCCTTCATCTTGCTTTCCTGATTCATATAATTTGCATTTTTTTAAGTTGTCTGTCACTCAATATCTTGCTCTATAATCTTCATCTTTTCTTTCATAAACCTTCCATAAGTTGAATCTTCCATAAGTTGAATCTTACCTCTTGCAAAATTCATTAGACTTGCTTGCTATAGTAAGACTAATTTAAATTCTGCTATTCCTTTTATTCTGCTATTCCTTATTAGACTAATTTATATTCTGACTATTTAAATTCTGCTATTTTCAGATATTAGTGTTGATGGGTACTATCCTTTAATTTGCAAACACTCTAATAGTCACATGCTTAGCTTGGGGGTATACATACTCATCAGTTCACCTATTTGTCATGAAATGACATGTGCTTTCACTTGTTTGTTCTTTATTGTCATGTTTGTTCTTTATTGTTCTCCTTCTCCACCTCTTCACTCTATACTTTATGTTTGTTCTTTATTGTTCTCCTTCTCCCCAAGACCGCACTTTTTTAGATGTAATTTCTGATCAAATTGACCATGCCTCTTCTCTTTACCCCTCTGCCAATATTGTTAATATTGGTGAGTTTAATGCTCATCACACTAAATAGCTTGGCTAATATGTCACTGACCCTGCTGGCACTAAAGCCTATAACATCAGCACTTCTCAATCTATAACTCAGATCATTAAACTTCAAAAGATTTCCATACAACCCTAACAATTTACCTTTACTCCTTGATTTATGTCTTCTCTCTGACCCTAACTTGTTTCCAGTTTCTCCTTTTTCTCCTTTAGGTGGTTATGATCATGCAATGTTTTTTATAAATCTTTCTTTTTATACTTCCTTTTCAGACTCACCCTATCATCACACTACTTACTACTCCCCTAAACTTACTGGGATTCTTTTTGTGATTTTCTTCTTGATGATCCAGCGGTTAAAAAAAAAAAAAACATTTATAATCTCAAAAACTTTCCATTAATTTTCCATTTAATTTTTCCATTAATTGACACATTATCAGCATAGTGAGAAAAGACATCAGCCTAAGGCTGATATCTTTTCTCACTCTGCTGATAAATGTGTTTCCTATGTTAATTCCTAAATTCAGGCAGGATTGGAAGCTTTTATTCCTTTTTGTTGGTCCCAAATCAAGCCTCATTCTACTACATGGTTTTCACCTTCTTGTGCAGCTGCTATATCTAATCCTAACCATTTTTTTCATCATTTTCAAACAAATAACTTTCTTGAGAACAAACGGTTATTTATTAATGCAAGAAATTGATGTAAAAAGATGATGCCTGTCACAAAGCTCCACTATTCTCAGTTCACTAAATTTTGTATCTTATCTCAGAAGTTAGGCACCAGAGACTTTTGGAAAATCTTCAACAACATTAACAAAGGTAGGTCTAACATTCCATCTCTCATCCATGGGGTTGATCTTATTACCTCTCTCAAGAATAAGGCAGAGCTGTTTGTAAAAAACTTTTCTTCTAATTTGACTTTTGAATCTTATGGCCATTCTCTTACTTTCATTCCAATTGAACAGTTTAACCCATTGTTAGACATTCAAATCATTTCCAGCTTATGTTGCTAAAGTTGTATCTCAATTAAACTTTTCTATGGCTCGTGGTCCAGACAATATTCTTGTCAAAATCTTAAAAAAATATTTTCCAAAACTCTTTTCAGTTCTCTCTAAACTATTTAATAAGTACTTAGCTGATTCTTGTTGTTCCAATTTTCAAAAACTTCGGAGAACATTCTGACTCCTCCATTTATTGTCCACTCTTCTTTTTGTTATTAGCAAGGTCATTGATCAACAAATTTCTTCCATTCTCCCATTTTTTCTTGGCTGACTTGCTAACTACTGTGACTAAAAGATTTTATTGTGCATTAGATGGAGGTGGAGAGATTAGGGCTACTGCTTTTGACATCTAAAGCTTCTTATGTTGTATCTGGGAAAGTTTTTGAGATTTTCAAATCGTTTCTTTTTAACCACTTTATTAAAGTAATACTCGAAATCCAACGTTCTTCTTATTTTCCAGCAACTTCTGGGGTACCTCTTTCTTATCTTTTTTTTTTTTTTTTATTTTAATTCACCTCCTCAAGGCCGAGAAGGCCACTACTGACGAGGAAGCTACTTATTTGTAGTTATAACCCTCTCTCAACTCTATAACTCCGAAACACGAACCTTGATGAACAAGGCTGCTGCGCGAAGAAACGAGTTGAGCGCGGTACTACCAGGGACGTGGTGGGGATCGAACTTGGAACCACTCGTTTATGAAGCGAGCGCTCTACCACTACACCACTACCGCATAATCATTTATGTAGATTTTAAAATCTTTATTGTACATATATACAGGATGATCATTAATGTAGATTTTAAAATCTAAATTAATGATCATCCTGATAACCTTACATCTGAAGTAGCTCTCTTTGCTGATGACTCGACTTTATACTCCTGTCTTGAAAAAAGTCTTCTTTTTTTGATCACTCAGAACAGGCAGCCGATCTTGATCTTACTTCTATAATAGATTGGAACTTGCAGTGGCTTGTAAATTTTAGCTCCAACTAAACTCTGTTATTTATTGTAAACATCTATCTCAATACTATCAGCATTATTATATTAATGAATGCCGAACCTATCACTAAGTCCTCTTCTTTACCTCTTCTTGAATTATTGTTCACTACTAAACTTTCATGGAAACCATATATACAATCTCTTTCTCTTTTCTACTAATGCTATTATTTTCTCTGTTTAGAGGAACTATCATCTCTAATTCCATCAACTAAAACTATTTCTTGCTTTACTCGTCATTCAGTCTCATTTTTATACTGTAACTTTTATTCATCTAGTTTTTTCCCCACTTTAACCTTTGGAACTCTCTCCCATCTTCATGTTTTCCTGACTCATACATCCTTCAACTTTTCAATTCTTCTTTCAACTGTTTTCTTGTTTTATAACTCAATTTTTTTTCCCTAGTAACTCCCAACTTTATAATGGTTGCTTGCAGCCTTGTTGGGAGTGAATCAGAGTTTTCAAAAAAAAAAAAAGGTCCAAAAATAAAGTTTTTTTTTTTTTCGTTATTATTTGTGTTTTTATTTTTAATATTATTACGATTGTTTTTTTTATTAAATAACTCTCGCTTCTTTTTAGTGTGGTAATTATATTGTGTTCTCGAAAAGTACTTCTATTTTCCCTATTGTAAAAGTGATTGAAGAAATTTTTAAGTAAGTGTTTTAAGTTTTTACAGATATCTTTATATTTTTTATTAGCTATTTTAATATTTTTAAATTTTTTTTTTTTTACCACTATTGCATTTATTATTAGATTTTGAGTTATAACATTGACATATATTCACAATATTGGTGACTATTTACAAGTTTATAAAACCTAAAATACTTTTTTCACGCTTCTTTCTGAAAAATAATATGATTTGTTAAAATTATTTTAAAAATAATTGAATTACATTTGTTTAAAATATGATATTTATTTTGAAGAATGATTGGCATATATAAAAGTGGTTTTATGTTTAGTTACTAACCAAATATTGAACAAAATACTGTACAAATAATCCTAAATGTTTGTATTACTTCAATTAGTTTTACAATGTGTGTGGGTATTATAATCAATACATATTCGATGCGTGTACATTATTTATTAACTATTAATTATTTAGAATTATTGATAATTTGTTTAAGTTCATTACTCTACATAGATATATATATACACATCTATAGGAATCTATATTTCTGTTGTGTGTTTATTATTGTTTTACTTTACTAAAATTTGATTTTGATTTTGTTTTGTTTTGAAAGATAATATTTTCTTCAGAGTAACTATTTAGTTGAACATTTTTTTAAGACAAAACAATAATATTTCATTTGTACAAAATGTCATTTTATTACTGAGCGGTTTTAAGTTTAAAAAAATACTACGTTTTACCTTGGAAGGATGGAGTTTTTGCAAGCTTTGTTTGGTACAAGTAAAGATCTGTAAATTTTTTATTCCTTAAATATTTGATTGATGTTGTTCTTCTTATTTTTTTTTTAAATTAAAAAAAAGTATTGTTTTGAAATTTTTCTATCTATATCTTGACGTTTTTTTACAACTTCTTGACGCATCAAACGGTGTAATTAAACCATTGGTTAGTTAACTCTTAATCGATCTATCTAAGAAAATCATTTTTATAAGAAACTGAAGGCCTATTACTTTATTAAATTATATTCGGCATCACTTTTAATTTGAATCACTATCATTGTAAAAATATTTATATGAAGTATATGATTTATATGTATATTTTTATAAGTGAAACAATTTAATTAAAATTGTAATTAACGATCGACCAAACTACCGACTGTTAAAGATTAGAAAGACCGTAAAAGTTTATAAGCGTTTAGCGTTTTGTTTTTAATAATTGTTATATATATAGGAAAAAGAAGCGTGCTCAAGTTGCATATTCTGGCTCAGTTCAAGGCTATGTACGAAAACCTGTTTCAGTGAGACGCGCTTGTTCAAACCTTGAATCATTTACAGTTGAGGATGTTGTAGAAAGTCACGTCTATTCGGAAGACGTTGATTCGGCGATTGGGAGCGATGAAGAGGTTTTTAAATTTTTTATTTTATTTTCATAACCAATTATATTTTTATTTAATTGACAACCAAATCATGTAATTGGCATTAAACATTGTTTAACAATAATATTGATAACAACAATAATAATAATAATAATAATAATAATAATAATAATAGCAATAATAATAATAATATTAACAATAATAGCAATAATAACAATAATAATAACAATAATGACAATAATAACAAATCACAATCATAAATAAATTAGGAAAACATTAATCAAATTTTTGCGAAATAATTTTCAGCTGATATGTTTAATCTGCCGTCAAATTGGGTAAATTAAATTCTAAAAAAATAATTTTTAATTTAGTAATAACAATATGTATGTCGGTTTTTTAAAAGATGTAATTGTTAAAGAACCAGATAAAATGAGATTTTATTTCGGGGGAGAATATTTTGTGAATCAGTTTTTGAATATTTTTTATCGCTAATGATTATTTTGATAAAAAACGATTTTCTTAAATTTAATAAGGAGCGTTTTTTGCAACTGTTGTTTTCTTTTTAAATTTACTACTATTTTTAATAGGAGATCAAATCTACTATTGCCTTTAAAAATATATTAAAAACTATAACTATCGATTGAAGGTTATATTGAAATATATTGTAGACAAAAGTAAAAGAGCCTAAACTGTTGTCTAATATTTGATTTTCCAGTACTAATAGTATTGGAAAACCAAATATTAGATATAAAGACAAACAGTCGTTAAGACAACTTTGTCGTTAACTTACAAACGATGAAAAAGGTACTTTTTGCTTGTGAGCGCAAAGTAGGATTTACGTTTATATCGTTAACTTTGTTTTAAGCTAAAAATCTAAAGTAATAAAGATATTAGCATGAAATGCTTTATCAATAATTATTGTAAATGTTTTTGATTGAAATGTAGCTAATTTTTACTGCTTGTGTTTAAGAATAAAAATTTCTTCCTCTAGGTTTCTGCACTTCAAATACTTATCCAAAAGTTACGCGCCAAGAATGGCAATCATATTATACCTTGTTAAATACGAAGAGATGTAAATAATTAGTAATAAAAATAACGATAGTAATATCAAATAATATAGATAAAAATAACGAAAATATTAACAAATAAAATTGTTAACGTAAATTTAAAAAATATAGTGTAATTTTATAAATACAATTCTGTTAATAATAAATATATATTAAGAGTAAAATAGATAAATCAAATTTTAAATTTGAATCAGAGTTCTATACATTTATTTTAAATTCTCTGAACTATTTTTTTTAGCTCGGGAAACCGCGGTTGAAGCGTTTGCAATCTGCTCCTCACATTTTGGGCGAGGAAGAGTACATTGTTGTGGATTTCATTGGGGAAGAGACTTCAAGTAAATTGATGTATTCGTTAGAAGATATCAATGATACAAAAGTTGAAGAAAGTAGTTTACATGAATTAGTTATGAAAAATTCTAATGACTCGCATGATACAAAGACGGCTTTGTTTCACGAAAAAAAAGAATATTTAGTTTCTAATACCTCTTCTTTAAACAAAATGGTAGAGGATGAAACGCCATCAACTGTTGTTACTGACACTGAGCAAAATGTAACCTATACTATACCAGTAATTGTTCCACGAAGAAGTTTTAAGAATGCTCCGCGAAAAAAGGTGTTTAGTGCAGGTAAAGGGTTAAAAAAAAAACATAACAAAGAATTACTTAACCCTAATTTGCATAACAGTTATAACCTGCAACTAATTGATAATAGCCATGATATAAAGAGTGATGGATATCAACTCATTAACAATAACCAAGTAATAAACAATGAAAACAATCAAGAAGGCGATAACGTGTTATCTACTAGTCCAATTGCCTTGTCTAATATTAATGACTGTAAACAAAATGTTGATCAGGATTTAAATAAACTTGAAGATAGAGGAATTAATAACTTTCAGCCCTCGAGTTCTTTAAAAGAGAAATCTTTTATTGAGAACGAAAAAACAATTCTCACCCCAAACCTCTCAAGAAAATTGCAAAACACATTAAATTCTGAAGATCGCTCAAAAAGCATTGTTGCTCAAAACAAATTTTTATTTGATCTTCAAATTGCCAATGAGCTTAAAAATAAAATTACTATTGAAAGGCCTGAACGGCCTCGATCTACATTAAGTTTAAACAATTATAACATTGATAAATCGCAGTCATCAAACTCTCTTAAAAAGAGTATTAACGAAGAAATACCGGTTGCCGGTATCGTTTCTGGTACTCGTGCATTATTTGAAGGCGGAAAACAAAAGAACAATGATGATCGATTGTCTTTAAGAAGTTTTCAAGAAGAAGAATTTAAATCATTTGGTACGCCTAGGCAATCGAAAAAAAGTTTGAATGAAGATCAGCCATCATTTGCGGAAGATCGACACGATACGATAAAACTTCCAGAACAAAAAATATTTAATCAAAAAACTGAATTGTCAACTACAAACGTTACTCAAAAGAAATCGTCAAAAGACTTTTCAATTTCAAACCACCATTTTAGTTCTACAATCGATAAATTAGAACTTCATTCTCCCGCTGTCAATAAAATTGAAAATGTTTCTGCTAAGAAAAATAAAAATAAAAAATTGTTTTTACGTCGCCACAAAAATGAAAAACTTAACACTCCTGATATAATTCCAGTTAATCAGTTTCATGATTATTCCAATGAAAATGACTTTGAAGACACCAAAAAACAAGAGACGACAAAACGTAGTTCGGAAAGTGAAATCAAAAGTTCTGAAGAATTAACAGATATACGTTCTATTTGTTCTACAGATTCTGATATAAGTATTATACTAGGTGAAATAATTAATCGAGAATCTTTTTTGGAAAAAAAAAAAAATAAAACAGGCTTAGGTTTTAAAAAGAAAATAAAATCAAAAAATATAAAAACTGCGCTAGTTGACGCGCCTAAAGTAAATGAAACCAAATTAGATGGAAATGCAGTTAATGATAAATCACCGGATTTAGAAATGCCTGAAAAACCTGCGTTACATAATATTCATACATTTTCAGACCCAATAGATTTGTCTATCGGTGTATCTATTGATGATAAGATTCAGAACCAGCATTGTAATGGACTGTTGCAGAAAAATGTACGCTCCAATATTTTAAGTGCAACCCACAGTAACTATTCATTAGACGGTGTTTTGGCAAATAGAGATAACAATGACTCAAGCTCACACGAGGATGAATTAGTTGAGATGTTTGAAGAAGTATCTAAACATGCTTTGTCGGGCTCAACCAACGTTTTAAATGATCCTCATAGCTTTGAATCATCGCATGAAAGGAAGAAGAAAAAACGTTTTCTTTTTAGTTGGAAAGGAAAAGGAAAATCTGACAAGAAAAAGCATAAGACAGAAAATGCTGGTAAACTACGTCTATCAAAAAGTCTAGAATTATTACCAGGAATTAAATCTAGTTCAAAATCTCTCCGTACAGAAAAATCAATTGAGGATGAAATAGTTGGTGATGAGGTTCCTAAAAAAAGAAAAGGATTTTTTAAAAAAAAGGTTAAGAATGATACTCATTCGGATATGATCGATAGCGATCGGAGTGAAATAGATTCTATTGTAAACTGTGTAGAAAGACATGAATCAGAATCTACAAGAGCATTCATAAAAGAAGATCTCACGCGTGTATCTGATAGAACTAACGAAAATAATACAACTTCCAAATCAAATGATCAAGTAAAACATACAGTTTTTATTCGAAAAGATGTTTTTGTGGAAGTCAAAAATTCCGACCAAACGGAGCTCTGATTTTTAAATTTATACATAGTTTTGTAACGCGCGAGATATGCGCGAGATGTATTTATGATTTTAATACTCCCTTATATTGTTTTACTTTTTTGTAGATCAATGTTTTTGAACTTCTGAAAGTTTTTGAACAGTGTTCAAGTTTGTTTAAATTGTTAAAAAGTCTTATAAGTTCTATAGGATTTTGGAAAAGAAAAAATATGGCAAAAAAAATAAACAAAGAAAAAAAAATTTTAACTCATTTGTTTCAGTTTAATTGTTTAGGTGTTAATACTGAAATTTTGTTTTAAAGTTTTATAGTCTAAAATTGTATATCCTATACGACTATTTTGACTAGGGTTGTCCAAGAAATGATAGTAAAAAAATAATTTGTGTGTAAATGTAACTAGATGGATATTTATGTAAATTTATTTTTGAAATGGTTTTCTACATATTTGTAAAAAAAAATTTATATTTCTTTTCATGATTTAAAAATAGTGTTATTTATTTATATCTATTTAAACTGTCAGTTTTAAACTGGATTTTTTTTCTTTCTATTTTCTAAATTATTAGATTTTATAAAATACTTTAACACTCTTTTCAATATTTATTTTACTTTTTGGTAAACAGATTTCAAATTTGCTATAATTTTTGATAAAGTTGACTTTTTTTCTTATATAAAGTGTATTACGTACTCAAAATTATTTAGTATCTATATAATATTTAGACTATGTAAGTTTTATTTGTTTGTTTATTCACCTTTTTAAAAGACTTCTATTTGATATTTTTTTTCATACATAATATTCATTTTAAAGACTTGAGAAAGTTATCAATTGCAAGGTTATAGTTAAATTGGTTCAACCGGTTTTTATGTGGATGAAATAAACCAGCTTGAATTTTTAATCGTGAAACATGAACCGGTTGTAATTGATTTTTATGAATCGTTTATAAAAAAAGTAAAATTACACTTTTTGTTGATTTGTGAACGAGTCACACCTAAGTAGGTGTGTTAAGACATGTAAACTTGAGATGTTTAATTTTCAATTAAAAAATTAAAAAAACAATTTTTTAATTTTTTTTATATTTTATGAACTTGGGTTTTTTTAGTTTTTTTAAACTTGGTTTTTTTGTTGTTGTTGTTACAGATATAGTGTGGAAAGATCCATAATTTAAATTAATCACTTGTAATCTTATATTTAAAAAATCGGTTGTTTAATCGACTTACGATTCATAAATTATTTTTTTAGTTTTCGCGGGCAATTTTGTAATGATAAGGTAGCCATTTTTAATAACAGTTCTTTGAAATTAGAATTTTTTTGCAAAGCATAACCCAGTTTCGCAAAGCTTACTCAGTTATACTTTTTTAGTTGTTTTGTTTATAAAGCATTCGTCATCTTTTACTGAAAGTTTTGTTTACTCAGATTAATAAAAAATTTATCATCAAATGAAGCCGACAACATTAGTTGAACAAGTTTACAGCTTATGTAATTTTCATCCTAATGGTAAAACGAAGAACATTGAAGAGTATTTGGCTGCCTCTAGTCACCCCCAAAAGAACCATAAAACATTGTATGGCAAAGTGAAAGAACAATGAGCCAAAGCCTGTATCAGGCAAAAAAACAAAAATTATAGATAGCTGGGAACATTAATCGTCTGAAAGGATTATAGATAGCTGGGAAAATCTTGAGCAACAGGTTCAGGGTACAAGAATTTGTCATAAATTCAAAAACTGTGAATTTGTCATTCATGATGAGTCTTATTTTTACATTTAAACATACAAATAAAAATTTAAAGCTGGATTTTATTCAGATAAACCAAAAAAAATGTAAATTATAAGCGCAAAAGCAAGTTAAAAAAAAATTCTTGTGTGGATTACCATACCCCTCGTAGAATCTCAAAATTATTTATTGTTCCTGTAATACAGTGTACAGTAATGATTGCAACATTAAAAAATTAACTTCTTTTATCAATAAACATTACAGTGATGGTAGTTACGTATTCTAGCCTGACTTGGCTTCTTCACATTATGCTGAAGTGTGACCGATTACCTTGATGAGAAAAATATGCGTTATGTAAAAGTTGATATTTTGGCATGTGTTCCAGAATTATGACCTCCAGAAGCTGATCTGATTAACCTTCTGTTCAATCAGATCAGCTGCACAAAAGAATCCTTTCTTGTTTAGGAAAAGTTGATAAAAATAACTTGTACGAGTTATGTGTGAACATAAAAACATAAAAGGTGACGCAATACCTCGTAATGGCTAGAAAGCAATAATTCAGTCCCGAAAGTAAAAAATGACTTACTATTTATTACTAATTTTTTGTTCATTAAACTTTTTTTGTACTGTTACTGCTTTCCTTTATTTTGTGCCAAATTTTTGTTACCAGGGGTTTAAGTAATTTTTTTAATTATATTTTACAAATAAAAGCGATTAAAAAATACAGTAAGTATTAAAATCTGTAAAGCGGTTACATATGTATAAAGTTATTTGATCTTGTAAAGTTCTTTCAAGAGTATTCAGTACATGACAAGTATTTTGAAATTTTGTCAACTGAATAAAAAAGCTTCACTAACGTATATTGTTTCTATTTTAATTTCTAAATTCAAAAAAACAACACTGGGAAACATATTTTTTTAATAACAGTTTAACAGACACCAACGTTTGAGCTTAATAAGAATTAAAACTAAGTTTTAAAAAACAACACTTTAATAGCTTTTATAAGATTGTATGTATAAATAAAAAAGGCAACAGTGCAAGCAGTTATTCAAGGTTTCATTGATTGACCATTACAGTCTTTAACAACAGATTTTTAAAGCTTCAACTTTTAATAGTGTATTCAACGTTTGATAGTATATAAAACTCCAGAATTGTAAATATAAAAAGACAGACAAAAATAAAATAGCAAACCAAAAACTTCGGTTTAAGAAGTTTATTTAAGTTATTATCAAAATGTTCACTCAGTTTCATTATCCAATTTTAACTAAATCTCCACATTACCAAAGGCAGTAATTTAAATATTTATACTTATCAATGGGTTGACCTTTTTTTTCAATTAGTTTCATTTGTTATTATTTTCCATGAAATTAGCAGCAAATTTATAAATTGTTTTTATTGCATGTTCCGTAAATTACACACATTTAAAAAATTTTTTTTTTGTGCAAAGTATTAATTCGACGCATTGAATTAATGCTTGAATTAATTTTTGCTTTGTGCAAAATGATTCTTACATATCTATAATATTCTTATATATCTATAATATTTTTTGAACAGTTTCACGGGGTTTCTTTCATTTTTAATATAACTCAAATATGCAGTTTGTTAGAGGTACTTTTTTAATTTACATCACGTTTGTTAATTAACCATTCATCATCAATTTTTATGCTAAAAAATTAAAAGATTTAATTTTTATAATAACTTTTGTAATTTTTGTAAAATCTCTTTTCTTTAAAAAATTAACTTTACAAAAAAAATAACGTCTTTGTTTTTTTCCAAATCTCATTTTCCATCATATTTCGAAATATATACAAACTTCATGAACTAAAAAACCAAGTCAGTTAAAACACGCGTTTTGGAATGTAATATCTAGCTCACTATATTCAATTGCAGAGTAACACCACGGTACAAGTTAAAATAAGACTTTTCCACATGCGCTATATTGCCACGGAAGGTTGGGGACTTCACAATTTCATATTTACAGTTGTTTGCTATTTTTGTAACTATTGTTTTAAAATAAATTACATCAAACTTTGAACAAGACGTGACATCTCTTATTTCATAATAAATGCCACGTATCTTAAGAAAATCGACATCTTGAATATTTTAGTCTTTTCGAACAGATACAAAATCTTTGTTTAAATCCAAGGCTGCAAGCAACCACTAATTAGTGTTAAAAGTTACTGGAAGAGAAAAGACGAAGATTGTAGAGCAAGATAACGATTAACAAACGATTTAAAAGATTGCAAACTATATGAATCAGGAAAGCAAGATGAAGGAAGCAAATTCCAAAGAACTGATGTTCGAGGAAAAAAACTAGACGAATAAGAGTTTTTGGACCTTAGGAACAGTAACAGAAAAAGGATGAGACTTAATTGAATGACGAGTAACACGAGAACGAATTTTAGTAGATGGCACAAGAGACGCTAGCTCTTTAGAGCAGTGCCCATTATAGTATTTGTAGAAAAGAGAAAGAGAAGCAACATTACGACGATGTGACAGAGGTTGAAGGTTGGCTGCAAGAGCAGGTCCAACTATGTTTACAATGCGTTTTTGCAACTTGACTAAAAGAGAAAGGGCATCATTAGAAGATCCCCCCCCCCCCCCCCGATATATGGAACTGTATTCCATACTAGGCCGGATTTGAGATTTATAGAGATAGAGAATAGAATCCAGAGTAAGAAAGTGTCGAGCTCGATAAAGAGAAGCAACTTTAGCAGATGCTAATTTTGCAACGGATTTGATATAAGGTTTCCAAGAAAGATCAGAAGTAAGAGTTAATCTTAGAAGATGAAAGGTAGGTACATACCGTACATTACCGTTCATAAATATAGTATTACATTACCGCACATTACATACAGTACATTACTGTTTATAAATATAGAAAGGTCTTAATTATTGCGATAACGATTGGCTGAAAAAAATTGAGTTTTATCTGAATTAAAGTTCACCAGCCACTGTGAGCCCCATGCTGTAGCAGAAGTGAGATATTTTTCAAGCTCAGATGCCCCTTGCAAGCAATCAGCGGGAGTTGGCTTCTTATCGTGACAATAATAAATGGTAGTATCATCAGCGAACAATGCCACCTTAGATGTGAGAATATCTGGAAGATCGTTAATGTAAATTAAAAAAAGTATAGGGCCAAGGATTGAACCTTGAGGAACCCCAGAGGTTACAGAATAAGAAGAAGAGTGCTGTCCATCGAGGACAACTTTTATACTACAATTGGAAAGGAACGATTCAATAGTCTTAAAGGTGTTTCCATATACACCGTAAGAAGAAAGCTTATGGAGAAGACCAGCGTATTTAATAAGTGCTTGTCAGAGTCTTGTTTTCCAGTAGGCTAGAAAACAAGACTCTGATAAGCGCTTATTAAATAGTTTTGAAAGGATAGACGACAGCT